CTGTATGGAAGAAGACTGAAACTAGAGACTGAGACCAGAAACTCATCAGGAAACTGTTTACTGAGCTCATAAATCAACTGAGAAGTCGACTCATTTCTGCTTAAGACTCTATACTATCGGTTTGTATTGCAGGTTTGAGACTCTTCACAGACCCGGAAGCTCTGTCCATTATATATACTGTCAGTGAGTGGATTGGACTTGCAGCATCTTTTCAGCCTCATAAAGTTAAAGTTAAAGTTAAAGTCAATGCTAGATGTACCATTAAAATGCTGTCCAGGAAAAGGATTCCTTAAAGAGTGTGAACCCTGAGAAGTATGAGGGTAAAACAGGTGTTAATTCAGGAAATTAGTTGTAAACCTTCCATCTTTTTCCCTTCACCTATCCCACGTCTCTCTGTGATTGCGTTCCCTCTCTTCAGGCTGTGATTTGTCTCTCGCTGAGCTGCGACTCCCGTGTGTTAATTACCTTGCCACCTATGGAAAGGTGCCGAGGACGTTGGCGCACAAATGATGCTCGATGGGATTCCAGGAGGGAGAAACCAAGGCTGAGCATACATCATACTGATATGTTTTTCTATTACCTACCTGTGGCAGGGGATGTGTGTGTGTGTGTGTGTGTGTGTGTGTGTGCAGCAAAGTGAGGGCGAGTCCCTCAAGGGTAAAGGGAAGACACTCTAGAGCATAATGGCGAGCACGGGGAGCATCCACGTTCAAGGCCTACGAGCGCTATCTTTAATTTATCGCTATGTTTTATTTAGCAGCCAGTCAATTCAGGCCACCGAGCAACAAACAAGGTTAGTGTGAAGCGTCCGTTGTGTTTGCAGAGCTGAACTCGTTTTGTTTTTCATTCATTTTACCAGGATAGTTCGTCTCTTTAATCCTAAGAACCTGGCGAATGTAAAGGTAGTTACATCACAATACAAATATGCGTGAGATGAAAAATAAATCATGATATCGAGGCACAAAGGAAGTATGCATTGTTTCCCTTCAAAATAAAAAAATGATTCTTTAATTTGATAAAGAAATATTAGAAAATAAAATAATCTTTTTCAGTTATAATTTCTCTTCAATCCAAATCATATTGTGACTTGTATCGAATCCAGAGTGTATCGTTAATATTCAGTGTATTGTGATGTATTGGGATACTGTAAGGACAGTTGATTGAGTCTTGTTCCAAGATCGTCAAATATTGATCAAAACCAAACCAGAAGAACCACAGACTCTCTCCTGTAGTAGATATTATTGGCTTTTTTTGTAGTCATGGAAACACCTGGAATTTGGTTAAAATGACCAAATATCCTGAAAATAATCTACGTTGTCCTGGAAAATGTTTTAATCCCAGCACTCGGATCACCCATGTATTTAGTTCGAAACTCGACTGTTGGCAGTACGACGCTTCAAAGCAGGGTCGGGTCTTTTTTTACTGGAGTTAATATATAATATAATATAATATGTATATAAAGCAAAAGGGGTTGTAGTTTTTACAGTATTGATGTTTAGCTATTCATTTTATTTTTATTTATTCTATATTTTCTCAGTGTTCATTTCTGGAATTGGTTGACAGTGTAACCTATATGTTAAATTATTTAACATCTTAAGGAGTATTTAATTTAAATATTCTTTAATGAAGTTATTTGTTTAAGAAAGCAGCCTTCTTTGCAGAGTCACAATTAGTTTTAATTCCAGCTCAAATATTCACAATATATTGGTTTATTAATTCCTCTGAGATCAGTATCAGTCTTAAAACAACCCATATTGCTCTATAATGTAATACTGTCAGGATATAGTGAAAGTTTCAACAAATGTAAATATGTAAAAGTTACTTAATGCAGCTTTTATGTTTTTATGGATTTTTAACAAAAACAAAACCTCACAATTTAATATTTTTGATATTTTCTTTTAGATCCTTATTATTTTTACTATTATTGTTATTATTATTATTATGTGGATGAATAAATGCTTAAATTAGCATTTTTTTCTGCAGATTTTCATAAAATTTGGTAAAAATGTGAGCTTCATTTGGATGTAAAATGTTTTATTTTTTATTCTTATTCTTATTTTAATGAATAAGAGTTGTTTTCTCATCATCTACATTATCATTATTATTCTAAATGTGGGTGTTTTACGGCTATATCTGATGTTATTAATGGATTAATATGACTTTTGTTGTTTTTTTGTTTTTAGTTTTAAAATTGTAAAATTCTGATATGATTGACGACACTGGCTACAAACTTAAAACAGCTTAAACATATTATAAAATTAATAGTTTGACAATTAAAAGATATAAAAATTAAAAGCATAAAATACCCATCGCTAATATACGGGAACATTTGACAGCAGTGGAAGCAACGTTTTAATTCTGTAGCAAAGTTCATCCTGAGGAAAACGTGAACGTATGAACCACATTTAATCCTAATCCATCCAATAATAGTCTGGCTTCAACTCTCCACACTGTTGTTCCACAAAACGATCAGGGATCAATAAGGGATAAAGAATCGGCTGATTATGTCATTGGTATCAATAATCAAGTAGAGGACCGGTGCCTTGCTCAAAGGCCCCTCAGCAGTTATATGTTAAGTTAGCATGTTAACATAGTTATTAGTAAACTGTTGTTGTTGTTGTTGTTGTTGTTGTTATTCCAGGCACTAAGATAAACACATAAACGGAGAGAGATCAGTTTCCTGAATTCTAATTTAAAATAAAACAGATTCCTCTCTCCGAGCGGCGGGATAGTGTAGTAGTAGTTTGAGATCTGACGCACACACACACTTCACACGAGCACGCCGACTGCCTGGATACCTGGTCGCCACGGAAACAGCGTGGCACCCACACAGATCTCCGTCCTCTCATCGCTCTGGTCGCCATGGTCACCTGTTTCAGTGGGAGCTGAAGTGTTGTCGACCTCAGTCAGTTTCAGTAGGTGGAGGAGGAGGAGGAGGAGGGAGGAGGAGGAGGGAGGAGAGGAGGAGAGGGCCGATAAGGCTGCTGGGTATTGATCGATACAGAACAAATCAGCTGGGTTATTTAGCTCACACAGCCCCGCCCCCGCCCGCCACCCCGCCGGCCAGCAGCTTCCTCCCCAGCCTCTCTCTGTTTAAATGAACTCTAACATCAACAATCAGTTTCCTGTCACTGGATTATCGGATTGAATCTACAGGTTCGCCTCCAGTCATTGATCGGGCCGTCACCTGCTTTCGTCACATCACTGTAACTCTGTACTCTCTTTACTTAACCGGCCTTCACTCCTCAGCAGGCGTCAGATCCTCTCCATATCTCCGCTCACTCAACTCCTGGAACGAGCTGCAAAAGTCACTGAAACGGCACATTTTACTCCATTATCCTCCTCTAATAACTCAGTAATTGAATTAGTTTCTGATCACTTCCTCTCTGGAACACAGTACTTTCCTCTCTGTTGTGTATTTACCGTTTGAACTGTAAGTAGCTGCCTCTCGATCGGGTCGTCACTGTAAAGGAGAATTGGTTCTCTGGTTAAACGAAGGTAAAACAGAATAAAGACACCACCTTTACTGAAGCTGGAGCTGAATGGTTACTGAACTCACTTTAATGCTTTAACCAAGTTTGACTTTCAGTACAGAGTCAGGAGTAACGGTGTTAGCTTTAATGGGGCCGCCGGGTGCTAATGAGAGACTCTGTCTGTCTGCAGTGGAGGGGATGAAGGTGGTGGAGATCGAGAAATGTCGCAACGACATCAAGAAGCTCCGCGAGGAGATGGCGTCCAGAAACAACAGGTGACGACAGACACAGACAGATATTTATACCAGTGAGCACAGACTGTCTCTCACGTACTGTAGAAGCTTTAAATAGAAACTATTATTATTATTATAACAATAGTAAAAGAAAACATAAACTAGTCTGTAGAAACGTGTATTTTACACTTGTTTTGTCAATGTAAACATCTGTTTTCTCTGCTGATAAAGCCCCTTTAAATGTAATTGATAGTATTAGACCTAAACATGAGAACATGCACCAGCAGTATTAAAGGTAACAGATAACTATCCTATGTATTATATATCATTAAATGTCATATATTCATTATTATTACTTCAGAAACAGTAGTAGTGACTTTGTTTTATTCATTATTTTTCTGTGTTTCTTCTTCCAGTAACTTCCTGGAGGACAATAAAAAGCTGACTCCTCGCAGAGATGTGCCCTCTTACCCCAAGGTAAGGCTCCTACCAGGTATTGTTGATGTCAGGTCTGATTAGAAATACCAACCCACCGTGGTTCCAGGAACCCGCAGAGAACAAATGTGATTGATTAATGTTTGATTTTGTGCAGTTGGGAGGTCCATTGTTTTATAGATCAGGTTCAGTACAGTAGGTCACTGTGAGATAATCAGTACAGATACATCTCTTCTTCAGTGTCACATAATAACTGAACAATATTTAAACATTGATAAACATTATATATCTGTAAGCTACGGAAGCCCTGGAAGGCAAGTTGGGTTTTTTTCTTGTGATAATAGGTGAATTTAATTTCCATAGGAGCTTCTAAGTTATTATTTTGTATTAAAATGTATTTCACTTGCCGTTCAGGGCTTCCGTAGTAATGAAATGGTGTATATAGCAGTATAGTACCTGTAGAGTAGGTGAATAAAGGTATATACAGGTATATAAAGGTATATATAGCTGTACAGTAGCTGTATAGTAGCTGTAGAGTAGGTATATAAAGGTAAATAAAGGTTTATACAGCTGTACAGTACCTGTATAGTAGATGTAGAGTAGGTATATAAAGGTGTATAAAGGTGTATAGTAGCCGTACAGTAGCTGTATAGTAGGTATATAAAGGTATACAAAGGTGTATAATGGCATGTAAAGGTATATAACGGTGTATACAAGTGTATAAAGGTATATAAAGGTGTATAGCAGCTGTATAGTAGCTGTATAGTAGGTATATAAAGGTATATAAAGGTATATAAAGGTATATAAAGGTATATAAAGCGGTATAGTAGCTGTAGAGTAGGTATATAAAGGTATACAAAGGTGTATAATGGAATGTAAAGGTATATAACGGTGTATACAAGTGTATAAAGGTATATAAAGGTGTATAGTAGCCGTACAGTAGCTGTATAGTAGCTGTGCCCCCGAGCCAGGCGGAGGTGGACAGGGTTAACTGCGCGCTCTGTTGCCTGCAGTACATGCTGTCACAACAGACCATAGACGCCCTCAAAAAACCCGCCTTCGACGTCTGGCTGTGGGAGGCCAACGAGGTAAGACTGACCAGCTTGCTTAACCCGTCTCACCCACAATACCCCTCTCTCCTCCCCCTCCCCCCCGTCTGCCCCGTCTGCCCCGTCTGCCCTGTGTGTGTGTGTAGTACCACCTGTCTAAGGAGACAGTAGAAGCTCTTAGATTACCTACATTCGATGCTTGGCAGTGGGAGCCCAATGAGGTGAGACTCTGCTCTGATTAATGCACTGATTAACTCCTCATCAAGGTAAATTATTGCTGATGAATCAACTGATTATTGATCAGTGTATGTGCTATTAATAATGTCCTAATTGTTCAATATTATGTCTTTAAGTTATAAGTCAGAAAATGTGTTTTTAAGTGAGAGCTGCCGACTTTAATCTGACCGAACAGAAGTCGGAGATGGAGACTTTATAATTAAATATAACATAATCAATAAGTAAAATAATGAACAGGTTTGATTTTGGGCCTCATTCACAAACGTTTCACACACAAATACGGGATTCAACACATTGCAACACACAGGAAAGGTTTGAGGCTTCCCACTCTTTTTAACAAATCAATATCCAGGACCTTTCCAGGAGTTTTTCTTAACAATACAGGACAGCAGTTGCTCACAAACGCTCATAAAAGCTGCAGTTTCAGGCAAATTTATAATTAATTTGACGACAGCCCGTAAGTAACAGTTCTAATCAATATATGTGATCATTAATAGGTTGTATGCACGTAGATATTGAAGTATCATAATCTATAATATCTAATATTTAACCAACAGTCAAGTTTTAAACTAAATACACACCCAGGTTTATGTAGGTGATCTGAGTGAGGAGCTACAATATAAAGTTTATAGGATATTTAGTCATTTTAATCAATATTCAGGTTGGACTGGAAAACTACTCTAAATGTTCTTGTTTTTCCAGGTTTTCCAGGATGCCTGGGAACGCTGTTTTTACCGTTTCTGGCTTCCACCTCGAACATTATTGTTTTTTTTTTGTCTTATTTAATTAACTTGTTTTGGTTGTTTTGGCGTCGATTAGTTTGAAAGGTTCTATATATATAAATAAGATTGATTGATTGATTGATTGATTGATTCTCCGTGATACGCACATATTAGTGAATGAGGCCCATTGTCTTTTTTGTTTATTCCACATTTTCTACCCTACATTACCCACAATGCAGCTCCACCGCCGACTGTTCGGTCAGAGACTTGGTTTATGTTAGTAGCAGCTAATGTAGCCTAGCGCCTCTAGCTGCTAGCAGAGATGAGGAAGATTACTTCTTTCAAAAACTAATACTAACTTTTAAAAAATATTAAAGAAACATATTAAACTTCAACTTTTTTAGATGATTTTTGAATAAAGATAATGTAGATATTGATTGTAGTGATAGATTGTTCCAAAGAGACGCTATTGATCCGACAGTACGGAAGATAAAAGTCATGAGTTAGGTAGATGTACGAGTGTGATATATGTTCACATAGAAGTTTGAAGAGACGAGTCGCACCTTTAACACGTTACTTAAAGAATTACCAATAATTAATGTGTTAAATGTGACACCAAACCACCCAACAGAAAGAGAACACACAGGCTGCAGACATACACAGAGATTATGTTAGTATGAGTCAAGGTTTTATAGGTAAATCTTGTGCAGTGCGCTGCAGAACCAGCCCGTTCCTTCAGCTTTGTATCCATCATTACGCTGCACAGAAACAGCTTTTAGTGAATTTAAAACCTTATCTCATCACCTCCCACTGATCCTTTGCTCTAACAGATGCTGAGCTGTCTGGAACACATGTACCACGACCTGGGCCTGGTCAGAGACTTCAACATCAACCCCATCACACTGAAGAGATGGCTGGTGAGACCTGGAGCCGGTCTACATAAACTACATATCTGGATTCACTGATTTGATGCAGGTCTCACCCCCTCCTCTCTCTCTCTCTCTCTCTCTCTGTAGCTTTGTATTCATGACAACTACAAGAACAACCCCTTCCACAACTTCCGCCACTGTTTCTGTGTCACCCAGATGATGTACAGCATGATCTGCCTCTGCAGCCTGCAGGTACCCAGCTGCTCGACTCAATGACGGCTGTAAGCCAACGTCATAAACAACCTCTTAAACCTCTTAATCTTAAACCTGCCGTCTATGTAACAACCAGCAGGGGGCAATAACACACAGATACCATTCAGTCTTATGGAGAAATGAGTCGACTCTCATATGTATGTATGAGCCCTAATAATATAAGTCTCTCTATTCGTCTCCTCTCTTGTATTTTTCTCTAGTTCTCCAGTTTCTTCCCTATCAGCTATAATGTTTTTAGTTAACTATCCTCTCCCTCATATAGTGTACAAAACATATCCCATAAAGCAGGGGGAGTTACGGCGGGCTTCTATCGTGACTTGACGCTCGTGTTTCTCAGTGTCGTGATTCCAGCTTCTCAACTACGCGAAGCTCAGCATCAAAGTTGCAAACACGTGCGATGGCAGATATGGATCTCAGATTGTTCTTGAAATGAGAAAACCAAAATTAGGAAATGAGCCGTTTTCCGTTTTTTGTTTTAAATAAAAAAAAAAACAATGTTTTCCTTTTTTTGTTAAAAAAACAAATAACTAAAACAAAAAAACGACTTTCGATTTTCCATCTTTTAGTTATAAAAATACTTAAGAAATATGAAACAACAACCAATTTATTTATTTTGTTTTAAAACTTTTTTCTGAAAATTGGGAAATAAGCTGTTTTGCATTTTTTGTTTAAAATAAAAAAAGCAAAATCTGCCAATTTTTTGTTTAAAAAACAAAAGTGTGACAATTTTTTGTTTTTAAAATAAATAACAAAAAACAAAAAATGAAATTTTCCGTCTTTTAGTTTTGAAAATAATTTAAAAAACATGAAAAAACCAACTTGTTTTTCATCGTTTGTTTTAAAACTTATTCTTCTGTTATTTTGTTTCTAAAAAGAAAAACGACATTTTCTGTCTTTTAGTTTTTTCTCATTTCAAAACAATAATCTGTTCCCTCAAATGGTTTTACAAACATATTTTATTGTTTATCTGGAATACGAGCCGCCATTAACCAACAAGGCGGCGAACGTAACGCCAAAACACCGACACACCGACACAGTGACGCCGTGGCCTTTCGTGGTCACACAGGCTGCATATTCATTCTGGAGTTAACAGCACTGAAAGGTCAACATGCTGAGATGCTTAAATGTCATGACATTTAACAGCATGTAGACGTTCACATTCACCATTAATCTGCTGCTCAGGAGGAGTCGTATGACCACAGTCTGCTGTGGCTCTAGAGGTGCATTATGGGAAATGTACAGGTAGGATCCAGAGGTTTTTGGAGCTTAAATACTCAGGAGGGAAAGTCGGTATTTTGATCTGTTGCTCGTAATGTCCCCAGACTTTATGGAACTGTAGAAGTTAATTAGTGCGGCACTTCAGATTATTTTATTGATTCATTTAATTAGTTGTTTGTTCCATAAAAACACATGGTTTCTGAGTTTGAGACTTAATTGATGCATTAATTAATTAATATAAATATGTTTGTGTTCGTTTTCTAGGAGAAGTTCACTCAGGTCGACATCTTGATTCTCATGACAGCTGCTGTGTGTCACGACCTCGATCACCCCGGATTCAACAACACGTAAGACACGCACACGCCTTCCTTTACGCCTCCTCCAGCAGCGTTCCCACACGTCCTGGAAAACGTGGAAAACTCTGAATTTAGAGACGAGTTCCCAGTCACGGAAATTGATTAAAATGACCAAAAATCCTGGAAATAATGTGTTTATCTGGAATATGTAAATATCATATTAGCTCCTCGTCTCGATCGCTAGTGTTTAATTTTGTTTGAAACAGTTTGTGGGATAAACTACAGCAACATTTTTAGCGTCCAGAAAACAAGTCTTTTTAGGGTTTTACTTTTCAAATGAAAAAAAAAAGAAAAAAAAACATGTATAAATATGTTCAACAAAAAACTTTTTTTTTTCTTTATTTTCCAAACAAAAAAAGACACGTAAAAAAGGTAATTTGTGTTTTTTTCTGTGATAAGTGTAATTTGAACTGTGCAGTTAAACAAGACGTGTTTATATAACACATAAATGGAAAACAGGTTTTTTTTTTCCATTTTCCATTTTTATTTTAAAACAAAATTTATTTATTTTTTGGTTTTGCTTTTTTTTTCAAAATAACTTTTTTATTTTAAAAACATTTTTTGTTTATTTATTTTATTATTTTATTTTATCTGTCTCTGTCTCTCTCTCTCTCTGACTCTCTCTCTCTCTCTCTCTCAGGTACCAGATCAACGCCAGAACGGAGTTGGCGGTCCGCTACAACGACATCTCCCCTCTGGAGAACCACCACTGCGCCGTGGCCTTCCAGATCTTCTCTCAGCCCGACTGCAACATCTTCTCCAGCTTTGACCCAGAGGCCTTCAAACAGATACGACAGGTACGGACGCACCTTTTACCGCCTTTTACCACGTGACCATGCAGGTGTTTAAAGGTCCAGAGTTTGACATCCGTCCCCGTTCACGCTTTCAGGGAACCATCACACTGATCCTGGCCACAGACATGGCGCGACACGGTGAGATCCTGGACTCCTTCAAGCAGAAAGTCGACAATTTTGAATACACGGACGAGGAACACCTCACCTGTGTAAGAACACCTGCACGCATTTCACTTATTGGTGCAGTAAAAAGTACAATAATTCCCTCTGAGATGTAGATTTTTATTTATTTACCACAAAAAACGTCTTTTTATTAACAATTAGTGAACAGATTGTAACGTAACTTAAATATGGTCCAAATAAAATGTAGGAACATAGCAGATAACGCTAACTGCAGTTCACTATTATGAAACTACTGTATGTTTCCAGCGTTGGTGTATATACGTACGTTGGTAATATAATAACCCTCTGTTCATGGTGACCTTTGCCCTCGGACCCTCCCTGCAGCTGAAGATGGTGCTCATCAAGTGCTGCGACATCTCCAACGAGGTGCGGCCCATGGAGGTGGCTGAGCCGTGGGTCGACTGCCTGCTGGAGGAGTACTTCATGCAGGTGGGGCCACCAGAGTGCTGAAAACAAACTGATATCAGTGGAGTCACTGACGTTGCTCCACAGCCTCACAGATCCACATTCTTCATTTATGTTTCATCTTTACTACGTTGGTCGATTCTGTACACACAGTATCTACTTCCTGTCTCTTCCTGCAGGTTTCCTCCATTTATTCCCAGTTAAAGGGTCCGACAGTTAGCCAACGTTATCACTAACAAAATACACAACTATATGTTAGTATAGCTTCCCCAGCCAATGTGATCCATGGTACTAACTGTATTATTAATGAGAAACTGTGTCCAGTAATGCTGGTGGTAATTGTGTCTCCGTATAGAAAACCGCAGTGAAAATGTCCTTGTTAAGAAGGATAAAAAACGCCAGAAGGATTAGGGTTGAATTCGGGTACCGGCACCATTTTTGGTCCAATTCAACGACTGGATATTTGGTATAAATAACTTTTACTTATAATAATCAACATTTCTGCTCATTTGTGTTGTTTTTAACCACAAAAAACCTCAGAAACATTTTAAGGCCAAAACTTTATTTTTCTTCTGTATCTAAAGTCAGACTCCATTACGATGAGACTAACTATCTTATGCTATTAAAAACATCCCACCATAAAGGTTATATACAAAGTTCACTTGCCACTAGATCTTGCATTAGAGCATCTCAGACCAAAACTATGAGACAGAAACAGAATAAAACTCATTAAAGCGTCTCTGTTAGTGTTTCCAACAATCACCAACTCTGGTTTGGTGGAAATAAATCCTTAATTCACCGACGTAGATGATAAAAACAGCAGTTTTCAGTCGGAGCAGACCCCGGCTATGGAACAAACCACAGAGAGGCTGCCGATACAAACACAGAAAGAGGAGCGAGACAACCATGTGACTGTGTATCTTAAACAGTGGATGGTAACAGGTACAATGTATGACCAGCTTCTGATTATTGATTATATATAGAACATGTTTATACACTGTTTAATGATATAGATTACAGATTATAGATGTTGTTAATGGTATATATATTTTATGTGAACAATTACTGAATGAAGTGTCGTCCATCAGCAGATTTTCCCACAGCTTTATTATTTCTGTCCACAGTCACATGATCAATGCTCTCTGGAGATACTCTGCAGCCCATTGTGTCACTGTGTCTGTGTGTGTGTGTGTGTGTGGTGTGTGTTAATGATACCTGACTCTGTCCTGACAGGCTCAGCTACAATACCCACATTGTTTCCTTCAGGTTCAGACAAGAAGCTACAAGCTACGAGACAAAACTATCTGATCTGACGTCTGAAAACCTGATCCTACCACACACACACACACACTCACACACACACACACACACACACACTGATATTAAACATATGAAGCTTTAACAACCTCAGTAGCAGCGTTGCAGTCGTACTGACAGGAGTTATGGAGGTTACAGATTCCTGAGTCGTGTAATATTCAGAGTATGTGGGATCATATTAACACACAGTAGCAGCCACATGTTCACTGTAACACGACTCGGGCCTCTCTGTCTCTGGTTACCACGGCGACCCAGTGTGTGCATAAATCACAGTTAGCAGTGTCTGTGGTTAAATCCACCAGTGTGAGGACGCAAGGATTACCCACAATGCCTCAGTGTGTGAGGTTAAAGTTTAAACACCAGAAAAGAGATTTCTAAGGCCCAAATATCTGCCACCTGTCAATCAAACCGCCCCCCTCCCTCATACCGCCCATATCATTAACCCCGCCCCTCCCCCACAGAAACAATATGAGGCACACACACACACACACACACACAGTGACCCCTCCCCTCATGTGGCCCCTGTTGGCCCCGGGACCCCGACTGGCCCTCTATTATCTTCAGTCCTGTCAGTCATCCAGTGAGGACGAGGATCATATTCACAGAGAGAAAGTAAACAGTCCTGGAAAACCTGGAAAATCTTATAATGTTCAGGTTTGTAAAGTACTGGAAAGTCTGTGAACCAGAACCAGAACCGCTGAGAACCAAAGTTTGAAAACAACCTTGAAATACAACAGAACCCAAATATCCTGGAGAAATATCCTGGAAAAGGCTTTTAAATGTGTGTTTTGTGAATCCTGGATAAGTTCTGAATGTGGAGTGGTGGCCTCCTTCAGCCCCCCTCCCTCCTGGTCTCATGAGGATTTAGGAGTATCAGGACTCAGAGGAGGTTTTCCTGCCAGCTGGCAGCCTCTTTATCACTTCTATTAAGTGTGAGTCCGACCCGGTGCTGGCTCAGAGCCGCCACGGCCGGCTGCCACAACGCTTCACACTGAAATTATTAAAGCTGCTGCTGCTGCTGCTGCTGCTGCTGCTGCTGCTCTGGGATCAGCTTACACACTGTACACTCCTTTATACTGACAGGAAATAAGACCCTCATCTCTCCTTCATCCCTCCTTCATCCCTCCTTCATCTCTCCTTCATCTCTCCTTCATCCCTCCTTCATCTCTCCTTCATCTCTCCTTCTATCTCTCCTTCATCCATCCTTCCTCTCTCCTTCATCCATCCTTCCTTTCTCCTTCTATCTCTCCTTCCTCTCTCCTTCTATCTCTCACTGATAATTAAACCCAGTTTACTGTTTCTGATGAATATGAAGTCAGTTTCTGCTCCTGTCAGTGAAAACAAAGAGAAACTTGTGAGCGGCTGAATGGTTTCTGATCGGGTCGGACCAGATCCAGAGGATTGTGGCTGCACGTTCAGCCCGACAGTCCCCCCGAATAGAAAGCGTGGGGTTGGGATTAAAGAGCGGCGGACTTTGAGGACGAGGAGAGGAAGAGATCCAGGACCTACAGCTGGTCCTGGATGATATAAATGTATATGTGTGTATAAGATATATAAAGAACTTATGTTACTCTGTGTAATGCAGAGAAATGGGCCTCCATAGAGAAACACATGAACATTTTTCCAAGTCAATCCAATAATTAAGGTTGGGTGGGGGGACTGTTAGCCTAGCTTAGCACAAAGACTGGAAGCAGGGGGAAACTGTTAGCCTAGCTCCATCAGAAGATAAAAGCAGCTCCCAGTGTGTGTGAGGGTCACAGTTACTGGTTTCACTGGTTGGAAACCTGCTGCTCTGATAAACTAATGACATTATTGACCTTCGCTCTGCTTCCTCTTCCTCTTCCTCTTCCTCCAGCTGATCTGCTGCAGTAAAGCTGATTGGCTGCTGTAATCTCTGTAATATGATGTGAACGAGGGATTATCACCGCTGTCACACTCATCACTTTTTATTTCTCTGAAAGAGGCAGGATCTTTCTCCTCCTCCTCCTCCTCCTCCTCCTCCTCCATCAGCGAGGAGGTCTGAGCTCTGTGACATCACATTTACAACCAGGGTGGGAAAGTAAGTGAGTACATTAACTGAGTTACTGTAGAAGCAACAAAAACAACCAACTGCAGCCGTATTCTGGATTCACATGAAGTTCCCATGATATGAACACTGAAAACACTGAAAACACTGAAAACACTGAGGTAAACTGTGTATCTGCATCTGAAAACAAACAAACACACTCTGACCTTCTGACACGACCCCGCCTCCTGAATCACTACGGCAACCTCTGAGCCTTAACGAGCTCTAACGAGCTCTAACGAGCTCTAACGAGCGTCTGAGGCAGAAACAAAACTGATCCAGCAGACACGATTTCTTCTTCTTGTTCCTCTTCCCTCCTCTGGCTCTTGCTCAGTGTAACAGGCGAGCGGACTTGAGCAGCTTTATAGCTCGTCAGCTCACGGTGGGGGCCGTGGGGGCAGAGTTTATTGATTTGGTTTACTCTCAGTCTGTTTCTTTTCTTAAAGTACTTTTGGCTTTATTCGACAGAGACAGCTGAAGAACAGACAGCAGACGGATTCGAACCTGCAGCAAGGACTCTGTTACCATTGGAAGCTCGCTTTGACCACTCGAGCTACCGGGCGCCCTTCTCTTCCCTTCTTCCTTCCTTCCTTCCTTCCTTCCTTCCTTCCTTCCTTCGCGCCTTCCTTCCTCAGTAGTGTTTGTTTGTGTTCGGTCCACACTCGAAGCACCGATCTGAGTTCGTCGCCGGTGGGAACAAAGCCACGTGATGTGCAGCAAGGGGCAGTGAGGCTCAGTGAAGAAGGGAGGAAGTTAAAGAGAGGGAAGAGGAGGAGAGGAGGAGACGAGGAGGAGGAGAGATGTTGTGTTGGGGCTGGAAGGTTCTCCGGGGGAGGGGACCATGGGCTGGTGTTTGATTGACAGGGCAGCTCCGCGGCAGTTTGTAGACGAGCTAACAGGGAGCGGACGCGGGTCCCGGGGGCGGACAAAGAGTGGAACTTGTTACCAGAGCTGTTCAATCAGAGACGGAGAGAGTGGGTGTGGTGTGTGTGTGGTGTTGTGTGTGTGTGTCAGGAGAGAGTGTGTGTGTGTGTGGTTGTGTGTGTGTGTGTCAGGAGAGTGTGTTGTGTTGGAGAGTGTGTGTGTGTGTGTGTGTGAGAGTGTCTGTGTGCGCTTGTGTGTGTGTGTGGTTGTGTGGAGCGGGTTCTTGTGTGGAGAGAAGGAGACGATTGTGTGCGGTGAGAGTGTGTGTGGTGCTGTCGTGGAAGCGTGTGGTCGAGAGGAGAGAGAGTGTGTGTGTGATGTGTGTGATGTGCCATGTGTGTGTGGTGTGTGTGTCGTGATGTGTGTTGGAGAGAGAGAGAAGTGTGTGTGTGTGTGTGTGTGTGTGTGTGTGTTGTCGTGAGAGAGAGAGAGTGTGGTTGTGTGTGGTGTCGTGTGTGTGTGTGTTTGAGGAGAACGGAGGAGAGTGGTGTGTGTGTGTGTGTGTGTCGTGTGTTGTGTGTGAGAGAGAGGAGAGAGGAAGATGCGAGAGAGAGAAAGAGAGACGAGA